AATGACATTTCATACCTGTATGATAATATTTATCTCTCTTCCCAGTAAATTCATTTCACGAGCTGCAACCTCTTCCTCTCTRTTTTTAAGGGCATCAGCCTGAATAGCTTGTACCATTTGTAACTTGTGTAATTCATCTTCTCTTGATGATAATTCCTGAAATTTAACATTTCATATCAAGCCATGGGTGGAATTTAATGGTGTTTTGGTGTTGGTTTTTTATTTTTTGGAATTTCCTAAGTATTCAGCAAACTTTAGAAATGAAATTCTTGATATTACAGTTCCAGGAGAAATTGAATMGATTAAATAGAAAAAACAAATATTCCTCATAATCAATTGTCATATATTAAGCATGATAGATTAACGTCTGGACACAAGTTCCTCTCATAGCTTCAGGTACTCCATAAGGCATAGCAAATCTCTTTTCTTAATTCATTACACTACACTCCACTCTCATGCAATTTCAGAGGAGCTTCACACATCTGGAGGACAAAATAACAGATTTTTGCTTTCTTGAGAACTAGAATTTATTGTTTTGTCTTCCAGTTGGAGCTGCATTCCCATGAACTGTGAGGGTTCTATACAATCACTGCTGACTTACTCTTTCCTTAAGGCGAAGTTCATCAAATATTTGCTCTATCTCCGTCTTCCAACCATCCTGCATGGATCTAAATGAGTCATTCTGGCTTGCCATTATGCTTGAATCACTTATTTCRTCCAGATCTTGAAGAATGGTTTTGAAAGATGGTCTCTTGTGAGGATCTTGATTCCAACAATCTATAATTGAGAAAAGAAACATAATTGAACTGTGATGCTACATGTAAACTCACAGTTGAAATATAGACTCCTTCATGAAGGTTCCTTATCAGCAACATGGCACTGGGTTTAAAATTACTTCCTTTTTAGTCAGTTMTACAAAGAAATAGCATGGTGAGATACACTTTAGCGTTCTGCACTTGATTACTCTTTATGGTACAATTACTTTTTTATCTGTTCTGAATGTCACGTTTAATATTTTGCATGCACTTCATTTCATGGACTTGCAAAACTTCAAAGATTTACAGAAAAAGACACATTAGGATGTTGAAACTTGTGCACAATATGTCAGGACATATTAACAAATATCTTTTAATGACAAACTGATAATCATGCCTCCGGAATYATGAGCAATGGACTGATAACAATATTTTATCTCATAAAAACCATCCTGAATCAAGCCTGTACTTACCATTCATCAAAGTCTGTAGAATCTCAGGACAWGTAGAAGGGATTGGGAGAGTAAGACTGTTCATTGCAACACCATAMGCTACAGCAAGGGCTTCAACATCTCGATATGGAACCTGACCGGTCAGTAGTTCCCACAATAATACTCCATAACTACAAACAWGACAAAAACATTGTTCACTCATAGGGGCAATTATTAGAGTTTTAATTAATCACTTCATTAAAAAAACCTGCACTTTGATATTTACAGAGCATCAAATCTAATTATTGTTGATAAAGGTTTGTAATATTGGAATTTAGACTGGCTTTTGTCCTTTATCGGAGTGAGGTGTTCATAACTCAGTCTAGTGTACATGTAAGCCCTGTAATGWTCTTGTAATYTCTCTGTAATGAGTTGGAGGAGCCTTTTCTTTTTGVAAGTCAAGAACAATTATCAATTATTAAATGAGGTGAAATGCTCCGAGATTTTTGAATCATTTTGCAGTCAGATTGAGTCCCGACTAAATAAAGTCACTGTTGTTGGAAAATTAGTGCAGCAAAATTGACCCATGAATTGAGCTCAACTCGGGGGCAAAAAAAGACTATTCAAACTTACTCTGCGAACAGAGGTTCTTTTCTCACCCCCCGAGAAGCGAGAGAAAAGAACCTCTGTTCGCAGAGTAATTCAAACTTACAGCAAGTTCATAATTTGTTAACTTGCTGACTTTAAAGAACTTTCTCAAAACAACATTGAATTAATGATCAACAATTTTCTCACCTCCAAACATCACTAGCAAATGAAAAGGTGCTTGTTCGGATCACTTCAGGTGCCATCCATGCGTACGTGCCTGCCGCACTCATCCGTGTTGTGTGGGCAATTTCTCTTGCAAGTCCAAAATCAGTTATTTTCAGGATATTATTGTAATCATTTTCATCAACAGGATGAAGTAAAAGAACTGTTGGGATATAATGGTAAAGACTGTAAACAGTGTGAACAAGGAATAACCAAARAGTGCTATATAATGATGATGTAATATATAATTTAGTTTAGACTGTAGAAAACAGAAGAACTTGCAGAATTTATTTCAATTTAGCACTATTTTGATTACTAATTAAGCTTTCCATGCTTTTAGTATTTGCATTATAATATTACTTGAATCTAAATCCTAAATCCTTAAGTTTAATATTGCCAAAAAATGTAATCAACTACAGGGATGTATAAAAAAAGACTGCTGTCACTTTGGTTACCTCCCATCGAATAAAGATATGAAAATACTTTATTTTAGAAATATAAAACGGCGCGCGTGTCTCTGTCCTCTGATATAAACACGGTGGGAGTTCGAAAAACATGAGAGAAGCAAGCTTAGGAACACGAGCGTAGCAAGTGTTTCTCTTGCTTCTCGAGTGTTTTTCAACTCCCACCGTGTTTATATAAATTTTTCGAACGAAAAGAAAATTTTGCCGGTAAGCCGTGTCTCTGTCCTCTGATACAAACACGGTCGTCAGCCAATCAGAGCGTGCATTATATATATAAAATTTTATAATACTAAATTAAACATAAATAAATATATTAATCTCTTATAGAAATAACCTTCAGTTATAAATGGACGGTATCAGTTCTTTATAGCTTGACGATTACAAAACAAGTGCACTTAAAGCGTCCTGTTCACAATCGTCAACAGCCCATTTATAACTACAYGTGGTTCCTATAATTTATATATGAGTCTAAGAAGTGTGATTATCTTCATTATTTGTTTGTTTTTTAGCCCTTCAACTAAACCATATTGAGCACTCTATTTTTGCTCTGGATGATGTTGATATAAACTTCAAATTGAAACCTTCCTAATCAAACTGAAGTATGTTATGTGATTGATAAAACAGTTTTATTAAGAGTGAAAAGAGCAAAATTTCATGAAATTACCGATGGTGCAACCAACATGATAGTTTATCATATGACATGTATTTGTCCCCACTCGCACTTGRAAAACGATTGCGCAAGCAAGGCTTCCCATGGATTCGGGCCGGTCCAAACAACAAATATCTACCTGCCGCTATTGCATAAGCCGACTAAAAACCTTTGAAAGAAAGGTCATGGGACTGTGCATACTTWTATCTTTTATACTGTTTTAACAATATTTTGTCAATTTTCTGTCTTTTTTAATGGGTGAAATGATAAAATGCTTGTTGTCTGAGTTTGGTTGGGTCGTTACGAGAAAARAWTAGGCTCTTGTTCATTTTCTATACATGACCTTGGGCCAAATATGTTGCCATACTGCCCTCCTACAAGGTATATTTAAGTACATAGTATATTAGAAGTCAGAATTTCTGCACATGACTGTAGAGTATTCAAGAGTCCAAAGTCTGKTTAATAGTTAGAGAGTATTATTAATATTAGATTAGAAGTGACAAATACATAATATGATTATGAAGTTAACAAGAATTTCTGGGCATCAATAGAGTGGAATTATAAGTTACACWAACTTTTGTACATTCAGCTATAAATTAATATGACAAGATAAAAAAAATTGAACAGTTGTATCACAGCTTATAATAAATTATAAGCAACCTCAGTTTATTTACCAAATAGATTATCAAAGACTGCCAAAATGTTTGATTTTCCTTTTATGAAATCCTTGGATACTAAGTCATCTCGTTGAAGATTTATATTTTAACTCAAGGATATCAAAACAAAGATATTTTTATGTTACGTCATTATAAATAGCGGAGGCTGTTTCAGACATACTTTTAAAATGTTTAAAAAAATTGTGCGCAATCAAAAAAAAATTGAAAAAWATTAAACTGAAACTGATTTCGTAAGTTTTTTGGGCGCTAAATAAGCTCTTCTAAAAAACTGTAACTCTTTTGACAAGTAATTTAACATRTCAATGAAGTTCTTTTGTTTAAACGCTAAAACTGGTCCCCTGACAATTCGAAAGAGATCGTGGGAAGAACAAACACTGTTCAAAACAATTTAGAATCCAAAGTTTAAAAATAGCACTTAAAAATTCCTCTTTTAATGATCGAAAATGAATTTTATTGATTACAAACTAAAAACACGACATTTAAAACTTTAACTACACCATCAATACCGAGAGACGACGGCTGTGAACGTCACGAACATGAAATTTATCGAAGCTGAAATTGACGAGGAAATTTATCGRGCTGAATCAAATTTACCCGGATTAGTTCGATGCTTGGTTAAAAAAAAGGAATAACTATGAGTCAAATTGMAAACAAGTTTACTTAACACTAGTTCTTTTGTAAAGAAATTTAAAGCTTTAATCGCACAAGTTTTCGGCTTGGGTAGATTTCTAAACTGCTGAAATATTGAAACACGCATTGTCTTTCGATTCAACCACAACAACTGCAGATTGAAAACAAAGACGTCCAAAGCTCTGCAAAAACATGGGACGCTTTTCTCATGAATTATGAACGCTACATTGTCTCTGCATGCTACTTACTATTGCCTGACTTCAGATCGCGATGAATGATGCTCAAAGGAGCTTCAGAGTGAAGGTAATTCATTCCTTGTGCAGTTTGAATTGCCCAGTTTAGAAGAACTGAGGGAGGAATTTTACTGCCATGGCCACTCAGAACTTTGGACAGGGCTCCTCCACGAGCATACTCTAATACCAAGCACAAATTAGGCGGTTCAAGACAAACTCCAAATAAACCAACAATATTCCTATGTCTCAGAATAGAGAAATATTTCGCCTCGTCTTTGACACTTTGCAAAGTCTTCGAATAGTCAGCGTAATTTTCTGTTCTTGCGACTTTAACTGCTACTTCTTCTTCTTTCCATATACCGCGGTAAACTTTCCCGAACGCTCCAACACCAATCATATCTATTAAGTCGATTTGTGTAAAAGGAACTTCTATTAGATTTGCTGARGGGTCTTGAAAAGTAACATAGTTGGCTGGGAAAATAGCTATTCGTCCTGAGCCTCCATGAATTCGACCGACCCACCATCCTTCGTCTCCACTAATAGCAGGATCCTTTGACAGAAGTTCTATGCGATCGTTAATTTTGAAKGACAATTCATCTTCTTCAGCAGCCTCGTAGTCATAGATTGCTATACACATCTCATATGAAGACAKRAAAGTTTTCGTTGATTCGCTGTTTCTAGAAGAAACTTGACTAGTATTTTCCATGGTCGCTGGGCTGTCTTGAAACGAAATTTTTTAAAAATCCACAAAAATTCACTATCTAAAATAAAATAGCTTATCCATTTGAGTCCGAGAGCTATCTAGCGAATAAATCGCAAACATTGGGCTCTCCTTCGGAACTATGACTAGAAACAAAGACTCATTTTCGGCTTGTACATTGAGTAGTCCAAAGTAAAAACAATCGCTAGAATATATTTGAGATGCAATGAAGGCTGCAGCGGGCGCGGTGCATTGTTAGTCACGTGAAAAAATCCAAACAGACGATTCGTTTAGGGAGTAATCCCACGGGACAAATTGTTTTCTGAAAGTTTCCATGGAAATGTCCATATTTACTTTGGCAGATTTTAGAGGGAATATCTCCTGAAATTTTTCACGATGACATATAATTGGCGTTAAGGATTGTTGGCAACTAATATGGGTTTGCGAACGAATYGTTTTTTTTAGATTTGGAGGCCCCTGTATTTTAGTACGGAGCATTTCCTCTAAAAGGGCAACGAAYAGCATTGTTTTTCTTGCAAATTATCGATAAGCAATAAAAATGCTCATAAAYCGATTACAGTAAGTAAAACGATAACAAAAGCGCGCGAATATCACAGGGGAATCCCCTATAAAAAGTGACATCACCCTTAATGAGATGCAGTTTGCTCGCAAAAAAGACACAGTTACTAAAAATAGCAATGACTCACTGAGCGAAGAATTCCATATCCACTACATAGGCCTTGGAAATTGAAAATAGACCGTGAGAAACATTCATAAAAGACTGCACTTATTGTTTTTGTCCAACTAACCGCTAACAGAGTGAGAAAAAATGACATTTTGTGGTGTTACGGCTGGCTAAAAGCTTTGTTACAAGGATATCGATATTGTAATCAGAATAGATCAAGTCTAACCCACTAATGTCTTGTCTTTGTTTCTCTTTAACTGATATTGTTCTTTTCTGGCAAAAATAGTTCACCAGGACAAAAATACTATCCATGCTGGAAGTGACCTTCAGTGTAAAAGCCACCTGTAAACATTACCACTGGGGCGTTCAACACTGTACTGTCCGAGACAAAAGAACAACATTTTAGCATGCTGAGATTATGTTCTTGTGGTACGCCGAATGACCTACTGGTCTATATTTGCTTATCAGAATTCTTACTGTAAATGCTTCCCAGTCGTATAACACTGAATTTAATTCAACGAAGTGAGGGAAAAAAACTAAAATAATCAAAATGATTGATGTTGGGTTGATCGGAGAGTTTATTTGTGTATTCATGGCGGCTAAATTAGTCCGCGCTGCAAGGGGTCTGTTTGCGGTTCGAGTTCCCAAGAGTTCTTTTTGTTGTACTGATATTACACACCGTCAAACTATCAAAAATATTTTGTTTTGTTGTCTTTTTTACMGACAGATCCACAAAAGTCGTAAACAATCTAAGAACCGACTAACTTGTAAATGCAGAGAGAGCCTGGATTGAGTGTTCTCTTTRCAGTTCCAGTGTACGAACACTTGCTKGCTAAAAAACATTTGAAATGCGATACTTTATAGGAGGTATAGCATAATTGTGGTTTTTACATCCAGTTCATCTAGTTATACATGCAAGACAAAATATTAGGATATTTCGGATTTCCAGATATTCCTATTTTAACTGGACTTACATTACAATCCTGAACTGACATTACAATCCTACATATTCAACCTTTACATCAAAAACTATTTATTTGTTTCGCTTCCACTTTTTTCGTTCTCCTGCTTTTCTTTCTCCTGTACCTAACGCTTGAAATATTCCGACGTCACAGGTCATCACACAKTACCACTCCTATCACAAATTGAAATGATTCACACTCCACCACCCACCCTCGGCGGCAGGGGGTCTTCCAACCACATTGTACAAACTGTTACATAGATTAAAACTATTTACAACTAACTAGCCAAACAAACAAAGAGAAAACGTATCATTTTACACTCAAAGCATGTTAAACTTTTTCACAGAAACAGCCCTACTTCTTCAATTTTTTAATGGAGCGCAGGAAGGCTGGATTGTAGACTGAGTGATAGAAAGAAGGCGGATGCCAAATACATCCATTAGAGGGCGTAGTCATTACATATGCTCAAACGAACCATGCAAAGATATTTTCTCTTTATGCTAGTAACATGAACCATTGGCATTTGAATAGAAAGTCTCTAGGACAATTCATATTTGCAAAGAAAATTCTATCCCSTTCATAATAAGACCAATTCTAGTTCTAATTCTAAAATTCCAGTGTGCATAGTTTCGAGTTTGCAATGCATGATAACCCTTAGTGGGGGCACATAAATGAATATTAAAAGGAAGTGACTTGCACTAGAGATAGTTCATCTAGTCATGTACGACGGTATCAGGTGTCCCACGCAGTTGATCATTGCTTCTCGAACTTGCGTTGAGATGCGCGTCTTGGAGTAGCTTGACCAATTAATTTTCATCTTTAAATAGGCAGAAGAAAAGAAGGATAAGGAGGCAAAACAAAGCACAGACGGCATTTATTGGAGGCCCATATATTTCCGGTGCACATTGAGGAGTCAAACTCCGCGCGCTATCAAATGATTTGCATACCAATAGACAGCCCTTTTAGAAGTTAGTTTACTGCTCTTAGGTGTACTGCTACTTTTTATTATGCACGTTTTCTTGGTCTTTTCGGTGTTTTACACATTATTGCAGTTTGTTTCACGGATTTAGCACTCTAATCCTCTATACACAAATGTTGATAGACACAATGGTGAAGTCAGTAGTGAGGTGTCACCAGTCAAAGGTGCGCTCAGTCATTCATGGTTAAGCATTTATTGCCATGTTGACTGCAAAACCTCTCCTTCTCTGAATCTCCAAAAAAAACCATTATATGCAGCGTTTTAATATCGGTATACAGTCCTTTGTGAATAAAATTTGCGCATCAATGCGATCTCAAAAACCAAGCCATTAAATACTGAAATAGTCTCCATTTCCGATAGCGATTATTTTTATCTTTGATCTGTTTTTATTACAAAGGCAATTTGACATCATTCTTATACTGGTAGATATTCCATAGAACTTACTCAAGGACTCTCACAATGTACGGAAACAATCTTTTCTTCGCCCACTGGAAGTTAAAGGTCATACACTAGAACTGACTTTATATTTCCGATCATTCAGATATGTAAGTAGAGTCTAAGTAGCTTAATAATTCCGGAACTTTCCCGATCTCAATATAGATGCGAATGAGAATCACTCATACATCATCTGCAAGTACACCCAAAACACGTGTAAYCATTATAAAAGCCGAGTCTTTAATTTCAATATAACAATTATTATACATCGTCTTTCAATTTCTTGGCTGGCGGTTCTAGTGTCGAATCCTCAGTTGCTTCACTTGTTTTATGTTTTTCTGGAATTGACGTTATCTTTACGGGCCTTTCGACTGTTGTACCAGACAAAAGATACCCTCCAGACCCATCCATCGTTACTAACGGATGTGTCCGTCCTGGAAGAACCTGAGAAAGAGAAGATACATTTAATCAACAAACGAAWAAGATTAGAAAGAATTAATTTTGCCCCTGGAAAATTTCCATTCACGTTCTCTGATACTGCGACAACTTGCATTTTTATATCACTTTAAAGGCCGAATTAGACGACACAACTTTTAGTGCCTACAACTATTGCAAGCAAATTGCGTAAGTCATCCTTACAACATCGCTACTTAAATCCRTACGACAGTTGTAGCCATGTTGCAAAGATGACTTGCGCAGGTTGCATGTGATGACTGCAGGCAAAAGTTTTACCGGAAGACTCAAGCACTAATTTTGAAAATTGGCGATAACTTGACAGTAATAAATTGACTTTTCAGATGTAAGATAACATACAAGTAGACCATACGCTACTGTGATAGTTATTTTAATTTTTCTCGAGCTTTCGCTGGACACTTTTCAGATGTTTTAAAGTAGTCCTGATGCGAAACAACTAAAAAAATAACATACTTGATAATGTCGCCACCAAGTTTCCGTTAACTGTAGATTGACAACACCACCTCTACTTCGTAAATCACCGTAACACTCTACAAGTGGCTGAGAAAGAATAACACTACTTTAACACTAGTTTAAGAGTTCAATCTGTAGATTTATTATGTTTGCAAACCAATATTTTTACTCCATTTCAAACATACCTCCTTGTATTGAGAGTACACTACAAATGGTCTTGAAGGTGCAACATAATCCAGGAGCAATGGTACAACAGTACTAGGATGGAACTTGCACACAACAACAAGTCTGAAAACGTCAAAAAAAAATTACATTAAATGAGCAGAAGCCATCACTAGGGGCATTTTATCTAGTGGGTCGCAAGGTGTCAATATTCTTTTCTAAACAAAGAGAGAAAAAGAGTAAATCTGAGATGAGATGCAACAGGAGGTGGATATACCATCCCATGAACCCCTAGGGCCAAATCAGAAAGAAATGTAGACAACTGCAGTGGCAGATCCAGGATTTTTCAAAGAGGGGTTCCACTTTGTTTTCGCATTTTCCTAAAAGGACTTTTTTTACTGTGCCTCTCGAACTGTAGCAAATGTAGCACTAATGTATTTAATAAAAATTCATTGTACGATGCGTTTTCATTTCATTTCATTCATTTTATTTTTAATTTTTTTATGCTTGAGGGGGGTTCCTGGGAACCCATGAAACCCCCCCTGGATCCGCCACTGAACTGTTGAAGAAAGTACTCTACACTTACCCATCCATGTGTTTATTTTGAAGCATATTTTTTGCCGTTAATTCTTCTTGTCTTCTTTTGTTTCTTCTTGCTATTTTTTCCTGGGGTAATGATTATGATAGCAAATGAATAAACTGAACAACAAAAACTCTTTATATAAGACTTTTTGGAATATTTTTTGAAATGTTATTCAGTCTAAGTAAGTCATACTAAGTTGGTTTTTAAATCTCTTTAGGAAAACTAAGAGTTTTTATGATACCTCTTCTTTCATAGGTCCTTCCCTTCTTTCCTTCTTTTCTTTATCTTCGGAGCAGGTTTCCTCTTGTTTTGTTTCWGTATCCTGGCTGTCCATGACTGCATCTTTGCATATTTCTACAGTTTCTTCCTTAGACTCTGGATCTGGTTCTTCAAATGACATAACACAACTAAATTGCATAAACCGTTTTTTTACAACAAGTACAGTAAACGCCATATGAATTTTTCAATGTGACTCTGTATTAAGTTTTACCTTCAATATTGTACAATTTACTTAGAGGAAAGCCATGTACTGTTTCAAGAACTTCTGGTGTAAAATCAAAATAGTCCATTGCAAGCCTAAAAATTTAAAGTATCAGTCAAAAATCTATTTCCTGAGGTTTGCAATTACATGTATATCTCTCAATCAATCAATCATTCAGTCAATAAATCAATCAATTTATCAATCAATCATCTCATCAGTCAGTCTGTCAATCAATCAATCAGTCAACCAACCAATAAATCAATCAACTCATTAATCAAGTAGTTATTATCCTACGATTTAATGACCAATCAAATCATCTGTTAAAAAATCAGCCATAACTACGGTCAGAATTGCAATTCAATTACCTAAATGGAAAATCACCAGTATAGATTTGTACAATATTTCCATAACCTGCAATGAAATACAAATACATGAAATTCAAAGTAGGATTCAAGGTAGACACAGTGTATTATAAAACATATTCATCATTAAAAATGGAAATTAATTAATTATCTTTATAACACTGATCTAATGCAATAGATCATTCATAGTTATATATGGAATGGACAAAACTGGAATGTGGAATACATGGAATGGCTGAAGTGCTTACCACCCATTCTTTCCAGAACTGCTCCTGRTACAAGTCCTTGACACTGRTCRATTACCATAATGTTMGATGTTGCTCTGATATTTGCCAGGGTTAATATTTGAGAGAGTGCATCTGGTCTTAGCTCGCTATTGAAAGTATTATTGATGACTTAGTAATTGAATTATATAGTAAGCTAGTCATATGACATATATTATTAATAGGGCATATTATACTTACCATACTTTATGAGAAACTTTTGAGTTATAATACATCTCAGATAATAGAGATGTTGATGGCTTGAGAACAGATATCCTTGCACTGTATCTGATAATACAAATTAAATGATTGTTCAATAATTATCATTGTTTAAGGAGATTATCAATTCAAATTAGGGAGATTTTCTTATATTTATTGCTTATTAATCCTTGACCATAATTTAATTATTACATAAATGTGGCCATTATTCATTTACTGATAATAATAAACCATTAAATTAAGTAATAACCAATTAATATTAATGAATAATATAAAGCTTCACTTACTTTTTAGTTTTCTTACTTCTGTACTTTGCTTTTGAAAATTCTGTTCTGTCTTTGAATGTTGCACTATTTTCAACTAGTTGATCTACAATATCCTGTTTGTTGTTGGATTACAAATTGCTGTTTAGTARTTTCCTTAAAAGTGGAACATATATTTTGCATTAATATTCAACCTTTCCAGTAGCTCCTTGGGCTTTTAATGAAACGACGTCTTCTCTCGACAGTTTCTGTGTCACTCCTTCACTTTTTATTGCATGGTAAACAGTTCCCTTATCTAGTGAATTAAACAAAAATAAGCTTAATAACAATAGACGTAAAAAAACTGCAAAAAACTTTGGCCTTAAATTAAGACGACTCACCTCCATTTTCTGTCGATCGCAGCTCGTCTACGTCTTCATCTGGATTTACTCTACTCAAAGTATCTCTTTTCACCTCAAATACAGAGCCAAGTGGACAACCAATAGCTTCATTGATAACAAAGCGAAGCTTCTCAAAAAAAATTTTTCTAGAAGAAATGAAAATACGTAAAGAAATTTGACTAGTAAGATGAGAATGAATGAACAAAATAAAGCTACTAACCTATCCCGTTGTACTTGGACGACCTTTATATGCTTATTGAGCCTGAGAATAACATGTTTTCCCTCTTTAATAGAATATTCTGCATCATCCYCATTACTTTCTGGTTCGTCCGCCATCTTGAAAAAAAAKKAAWMYSGGGGYCRMGGACTAGGATATTCGTGATRGTAACATCAGCTGTGAAAGTAGACTGCTGTYARTAATGAACGCGGGCGTCAATGACGTCAACCAAAAAAATATGGCGGTCGATGGGAAGGAAGAGGAGAAAATTTCTCCGATTTTCAACCTGATATGTCGACCCCTTGAACTTTGTACGTGTTTCAAAATGCTTTGAGTTAACGTTCAAAGCAAATAACTTGCTTTGTAAATACAAATTCGAATGGGTTCTCAAACGCTGGAGATTTTGCGTCAGGGTGTTTGGGCCTCGCTGACGGGAGGTTGGTTCTTCGACCCACACCAAGAAATCTTTACCAATACCTTTCATTTTTACTTATGGATTATTCTGCTGTGTCTGCCGTTTTCTCTTTACCTTGTAAGTATTTTAATATGCAGTCAAATAATTTTAGTGGCGCATTTCTCATCCTTAATGTTTTGTTTATCGAAGCCTGGTGTGCACAAGCGTTCTTCAAAACATTTTCCGCTTTTGACTTGTTTACAATTTTATTTCGTATCAGGGTGCTCCGCCTTCTGATCTAGTCTGGGTCTTGTATGCAGCATTTGTTGGAGTTCTATTCGCCATCATTAAATTCTTAAACTACCGTCTTCATTTGATGTTTGACGGCGAGGAATTTCACTCCGAGGAAGATCAYCGAGAGGACAGTGGCTCCACAAGAGAAATCCCAACAGGAGATAGCGTCGTGAGAGAGCACTCCGTTAGCGTGAGACGTGATGATAGTTCCGTTGTGTCTCCCCATGYGGAGGGGGCCGGGGAAGTCATTGAAATGGAGGTGATTAACAGATGTGGCTCATCCGCTGATTGTAATGGTAGCCATGAGCAACAACCCCTGCCCCCCTCAATGCCTTCTTCTCTTCTTAACCAATCGCAGACAATGGAGAATAACCCTGATCAGGTCTATTGTAATACTAGATAAGTAACATAGGGTATTGCTTACAGTCTCCAGTCTGCCGATTCAAGTTTAATTCCAACATTCGCAATCAATCGTTTATTGAAAAATCATCGCTATCATAGAAAAGGACAACCTCAAAGCAATACATTGCTAAGCTTGACATTTATACAGTCAACTCTTATTAAAACGGACACCTTAATGACATCCTAATGAAGTGTTTGCTTTAGCAAGTGTCTTATATAAAGGGAGTTATTTTCAGTGTTTGGAGCTGCAAAATCCAGGGTTTTGAGGGTCAAATGTTTGCTTGAAATGTAAGTCCCTCTTTAGGCCGATTTAGACGACAGAACTTTTCCCTACAACTATTTCATGTGACCTGCGTAAGTCATCCTTACGACATGGCTACAACTGTCGTAAGGCTATCAAGCAATTGTTTAAAATCCCTATGACAGTTGTAGCCATGTCGTAAGGATGACTTACGCAGGTTGCATGCAATGGTTGTATGCAAAAGTTGTGTTGTCAAAATTGGCCTTTTCAAATTACTAAAAAGGAACACCAGGTCAGGCACAAAATTTTAAGGTAATTGGTTCAGCTCTGCCGTTAGCTGTTTGCCATAAACGTGATGCTTAAACTCTCTATTCTGTCAGTCTCACTTGAGGAAATTGTTTTTTTTTTTCCAACTGTTGATTTTGTAGGGCAGAATTTAACTTGGACTGGCATTATTGGCAAACTGACAATATGAATACTCTTTCACTGCACAAGTTATTGATTTTAACTAATATTAGCTCAATAATATCACATTCTCACTAAACACCATTTAGTCCTAATATTTTGATAACCACTCAATGGTAATAATGTATCATCCTTTTGTTTAATTCAATGAAGAAAAAATAAACTAATTACTTGACTGTTTGTAATATAGGATAGTGGTGATCAAGCTAGCAAGACAGAAGGTATGTCCTCTTTTGTTCATCTATTATCTAAATGTAGCATTTATCATGAAATTGATAATTATTAGTACTTATAGACTGATCATTTAGTTTAATAATGTAATGGTTAAGTTGTCCTTTTCTGCATCATGTTGTTGCATTATATGACCAAGACCCAGCTTTACTAACTCATTGGTTTCCCCCTTTGAAAATGCAGAAGAAACAGGCGCAAGAAGAAAAAAAGTAGGGGCAAAGGAGGTATTTAAAAAACTTTTATAGTTTATGTATCATTTGAGTTAGGGTATTTACAATAATACTTAAATAATAATTATTAATAAACCATTTATAAAGACAATATGAAAATAATGGAAAGCCACTTCAAGATTAGTATTGTGATTATAAATAGATAAAGTGGAATTTATTTTCTATGAACACAATGCATATAATTGTTACAATAAATGGTTTGATAACGATTCAAATTCTGACTTGCTATGATTGACAGATAACGTTTGCACTGGAAATACCAACAAGTGATGATTCAGATGACAGTGGGAGGCAAAGGTAAAGATAACTTGGAAATTTTACATSATTCTCAAAACAAACAAACAAACAYAACTTTTAATGTCATTTTTATTTCAGTCCTAGTGGAAAGTTAAATCCAGGAAGTTCTCAACAAGACCAAGAAACTGGTAAATGATAATGTTTTTTGTTGCCCTGTTTTTTGTTATAGTTACAACTCCAAATTATCTATTTCATTTTCTTGACATAGAAAAAGAGATGCCAAATACACACAAAGAGAATCATTTTGAAAGCATGACAAGTTTCAAAAGTGACCAATCACATGACGATGCTCCAAGCTCAACAAACGATGTCCAAAACCCAAATAACAAGGAAGAATGTACAATAGGTAACATTGATTAATCTCTGTCAGAATGCTTGCTGCAATACCTT